CAGGTGTTCTTTTTGCCATAACTCTACAAGAAACCATCTGAGAGACATGAAATTCAGAAATGAGAGACAGCATTTTGTATTTAAACAATGACGAAAGCATAGATGCACAAAAATGAATACAATGCATACTGTATGGAATTAACCAAAAAAAAAGACTGTATTGAACTCAAAGTATTGTTACACATAATTGTCAGTACAGGAGGAAAAACAACAAGCAGATGTTTCTTAGTATGGGATATGCCCTCCCCTTACTGCAGTGGTTGCTTCGCACCATCTCTCTATGCTCAGCACCAGATTGTCTTACAGATCTTGAGGTAAGAGTGCTCATTCCTCAATCAGCATCTGTTTCAGTTGTTGGGTGTTCCCTGGAGAAATAATCATGTCACAAGGTTTCTCCCCAAAGCATCCCACACATGTTCTATGGGATTTAAATCAGAGAAGTACGCTGACCAATCAATTCAAGTGGTACCTTCCCTTTCCAATAGCTTCTGAACCGCAGGATTGTCATCCATAAAAACAAAGTCTGCTCCAGTGGCACCTCAGAACAGACACACATAGGGGGGAGACAACCTCCTGACAATAGCGATCTCCAGTTACTGAACCTCTGTCGAAAATGTGGAGCTCTGTCCACCCGTTCAGCAAAATGTCTCCCCAAATGAGAACTCCGGGACTACTATAATGATCTCTTTCCATGATACTACTGAGATCAGACCGTCTCCCGACCTCCCTCCAACTCAACTGGCATTGAGAATCACTTATGGTTTTAAAACGACTCTCATCCGTAAAGATGACACAACTGATGATTGATGAGATTGATGAACAAACGATTGATGAGATATCCAGTTTTTGTGCTCCTTGCACCACTCTAAATGATTGTGCCGATGGGCAACTTTGAAAGGGATTTAACGTTCAGGATGGTGGGTGAATAGGCCACCTTTGTGAAGGCGTCTGGACACAGTAAACCGCGACACTTGTCGCCTCGTTACTGTACACAGTTGCTGAGCTTGGTACTTGCTGACTGGTTTTTCTTTTCACCTAATATATCAGTCATCCACTGCAGTTGTTTTACTAGGACAACCACCACCAATCTTCCTAACAGCTGTACCTGGTTTGAAAAGCTTTCCAAGCCATGAAACAGCACTTTAGTTGATTCCAAACTCTTCAGCTACACTGGTCACACTCTGCCCCCGTCCTCCAGTTTTCTGATTATTCTTCTACATGTGAAGTCATTTAGGTGAATTCTTGTAGCCATATTTCATGAAAGAACTCTTCTGCACTTGTTACGAATGTCTTTAATTCCGTCTTCATCCTTCCTTTTATTGTAGTCTTGAGTTGAGCATGCTGACCGCATGCATTTTGCGTACACTCACGTCGTCTGTGACATTGTATTCCTGACATTTGCATACACATGACCTTGCTATTAAATTGTGTGTTCATTGTACTGGTCGCCAAGCCCTATTCTGCAATTTCATGGCTGTCTGATTAAAATTTATATTGTTGCTTAAGTTTTGCACACCAGCGTATAATGTTTAGCATCTGCTAGATGCTCTGGTGTTCCGCACCTACATCTTAACATTTCTTCCTAAGAATCATTCGAAATAAGATGAAAAATTTCCATGATTTGTTGCTAATTGTACTAGGAAGAAATTTGTTTTTATTCTTTTTAGAGATACTTGTGGGAAATATTCATGAGTTCATCTTCCTGTAACTGCCTTGTCCCATCTTCTTTGCCATTTTTAGCCCAAAGGGCGTTAGCCCAGAAGGGCTATTAATTTTGTTTTGGCATTTTGCATTGTGAACCAATAAATGTTGGTTCCTATAATCCAACCTATAAATGTTGGTTCACTTTACAAATTGTTGCCACCAAATATTACAGCCCTGCCTAATATTTAAAGAAATTAAATAATGAAGATTCTGCATAAATGTATGTATGTTTCTCGCACTGTGATAAAACAACGTTACCTAGAGCCATCAAATTTAGAATAACGCAATCTTCCATGGAATATGGGTGCCTGAAAGCCTGAATTAGGAATTTGAAATTTGTTTTATTATCAATTTTGTATTTTGTAACACTTTAACGAATTTTTTATTAACACACTCAACGATTTTGAAGTAAGCAATGGCCATACTGTACAGAGAAAAAAAACATTTTAATCTCCAATGCGCGAGACTTCGTATCAGAAATTCTAAAGATATGCTCATTTTAAAATTATTTTGCGATATTGCTGTTGAATTTAATTTTATGGTTTAAGTGCAAAGAACATGATATTTAATAAATAAAGGCAGCACACAAAATGTTAAAATAACACCCCTTTGGGCATAATGTAAATCCTGAAAGCTCTCAGATTTTATATTAAAACTTGTTTAGAAATTTCATTCTTGATTGTAAGTCTTGAAATAGGAAGATAGATATGAATCATATCTTTTAATGTGGCATCCTTAGCTGCTGTATCAGCAGCTTCATTCCCTATTATATGTGTACGTCCCCATATCCAGTTTAGGATAATTGGATGAATATTCACTTCCATATTATTTGTTTCTTGAAAAGATTGAATAAGAAGTTTTTTTCATGGAACATAATGCCTTTAAAAACACTTTGACTATCTGTATAAATGCTCACATACTGTGACTTCCGAGAAAAGCATTTAGCCACAAAAAGGCTTCATTCAAATGTATTGCTTTGGCTTGGAAAATTGGGCTTGAATCATTTAGTCTAAATTTTTTACATATTATAATTTGTTTACCTTTCAGCAGCATTTAAGTTATAAATACAGCTCAAATTTTATCTTGAATCATTGACCCATGTGTAAAAATTTCCATTTCCTTTCTTTTCATATGCCAAATGATTGGTGTGGATTGAGCTGGGAGTTAGCTAAATTTTAGGACTTCTAATTCTGCTATAGAACTTGGAATATTTAATTCTTCTACCATGCAATCCTTTTGAAAGTGAAAGAGACAAAATAACTTTGATTCCTGTTATGCTTTAATATCTAGTGGAAGCACTGTAGCAATTTATTTGTTACTCTTACTGTGCCGCTATAATGCAACAGGCATACAGGCAACCATCTATTAAATGCTTTCTTTACTTTTCTTTCTAAGTCTGTATGATTTTTATTGCCAACAATGATGATGAAATCATCAGCATATGCTTGGAGAGTGACATCTCTTCCTAACTTGAGCCACATTGTTCCACAAAATTGGATCCTTGAGATGAGCCCTTGTAAAACTTTTTGAAAACATTTGACACCATCTCTTTTATAGATGATTTTTCTATTATGAAGATAATTCTTTGGTAAATTGTAAAGATTTGCTGGACAGTTATGATTTTGAAGTGTGGCAAATATACCCAACCACCAAAGATTATTAAAGCCAAATAATTACATCTAGAGAAATTATGCAAGTGTGCCAATTTTGAGTATAATTATTTTTTATGATGGTTATAAAATTGTCCAATGCATCCACTGTTCCTTTATTCCGCATAAATCCAAATTGATACTGATGTAATAGTTTATTATTTAAGTGAAAGTATGTAAGTCTTTGTGCTAGTAGTTTATCTAAAACTTTGCCCCATATAGTAAGAAGGCATATAGGTCAGTAGACAATAGGGATTGATTTATCTTTTACTTTTTTGGGAAACAGCACTAAATTAGTGACTTTCTATGACTCTGGAAAATACCTAAATTTAAGGCAAGAGTTTATGATATGTAAGGAAAGTTCACTATTTGCCAGATAAAGTTCTTCAACTAATTCTAATGTAATTCCATTGATACCTGGTACTCTACTTTTATTTGCCATTTTAAAAATATCTTTAATCTCATTATGTGTAAAGTAGAGATCATTTTGAGTTCAGCCTTTTTATTATCAAAGCATGCTATGCAGTAATCTGCCAACATATCATCTTGTGGGAAGTGAAAGAAAATAATGTATTCCATTGTTTCTTTATTTCATAAAGTTGCAAATGGTAGATGCTTTTTCCTTTTGTCATGTTGTAGTAAGTTCCAAATGGCAGCTTGGGAGAAAGATTTTCTTAAAAATTATTCCAGGAATTAACCTTGGCTTTATGAATATTAAGCTTGTAAAGCTCTTCTTCTTTTCTGTAAATGATGCTTGGTCTATTTTTCTCCAATTCATTATGAGTCTCACTCTGATACCTTCGTCTCAATGTCCTTACCTTTTTCCTTTGAATTGTTAATTCTTTTGTCCACCAAGGATGTGACTTAGGAAAGGTTTTGGAAATTTTATTTGTAATGTTTGTATTATTATACAGGTTATGTAGTTTTTCTGTAGTCTGTGTAATTAATTTGTCTGTCTGATTTTCTGTATGTAAATCTACAGTATACTGAAAGTTAGTAGATAACTTTTCCCTCAAAGATATCCAGTCGGTCTGATACAAATTCATTCTCAGCTTATTAGTTTGTAGAAATAAAATATTGCCTAATTCGAATGAAATGATGTAATGGTCACATAAACTACCTTCAAGTTATTAATACGTAAATCGCATGGATTTTTACCAGAGATCTTTCTGTGGCTGGCCTCGATTTGCTATGCATTTGGCTACACTGTATGGGTCACTGCACAACGTAAAATCTTAGGCAGCTACAAAATCACATGCTTGAATCCCTCTGAGGTTTGTATGAGAAGGGCCCCAGAGAGGATGTTTGACATTAAAGTTATCAACTTCCATGCAACACCCATCACGATGTGAATGCTGATTTTGCCTTAGTATTATGTATTTAAAAGTCAGTTACACATATTAATTTTGGTTACATAATGTACTTCTGCATTATGTCCGTATTTTTTATAGTGTTATCATATGTCAGAAATTTTTTGATCGCATATAAAAAAGCTAGGAGAAAACCAGTAAATATTTCTTAATTATATTTTTAAGTGCATTCAGTATTAAGATTTTTTTCAGTTATATGAACATTTCATAAAATACATTTATGATAACCTAAAAAATTGCTTTTAATTATTAAAGTAACACTTTAATAAATTTTTAGCTGATGCTCCACTTTCTCCAGAAGCAATGGACATAGAGTCTCAGTCACTTGCTACTTCGTCTGCTGGAAGTACACCTAGTAGTGCACCCTCTCCAACCCCATCTCTGTCAAAAACAGCAGGGCAGTCCTTATCAGAATTTGTTTTACAACTGGAAGAATATACACCTACAGTAAGTTGAGTGTATATACATTTATATCAAAATATTACTTTTAAAATATTGATCTTTAATTCTTTTTTATAAAATATCTTTTTGCATTAATGGGTATTTGTAATTTTTCAAAAATGTAATTATTCAAAGAGAGTTTTAGCGAAGAAAAATAATTGTATTATTGCAATTTTTCCCCTTCAAACATTAATATAGAATTCACAAGGTTGATACAATGTTGGTAATCATTTTTATATATTTATACAATTGTAGATCATTTTAAAAACCTTCATTAATTTTCTTAAATCCTATTTTGTAAACATCAAATCTCAATTTTCTAATGCTGCAATGAAAAGAATTAATCAAAAATCCTTATGCAGTCAAAAGTCGTTAATTCGGACACCCATAATCCGGAATGATCTATAATCCGGACCTCAAAGCTACAAACTTTCTGCGCATGCGTCGCGTTGACGGATGCGCGCAAGACCTTTACGGCTGCGAATAAGCTTGTGCGCGTGCGCAAAATACGTTTACGAGTGCGCGTTTAATATATAACGGATGGTATAAGGTAAGCTAAAATTATCTAATTATCTATTTCAGTTAATGTTGCAGATTGCATTGTTCCTTAATCTTCGAATTGGATCTGGCTTATTATTTTTTGCAAACTGTTAGAGCAATTTTATAAAAGTAAGCTTGAACTTTCGATTATGTCAAATAGAATTTCTGATATACATTTACTAATATGTAAATGATTTACAAAGCGAAAGTATATTTCGAAGTTCATTAAACAAAAAGTGGAATTGCTGCAAAAAATGGATAAAGGCATATCCTTTGTTTATCTAAACTTTAACGTTTGTTTATCTAAACTTTGTTTATCTTTAACCCCGCAGCAACGGGCGGGGGTCGCAATGAATTGGAAGTTGATCTGTCAGCACTATTCTTATCTTCAGGGCAGATGTTTTTATTTTATTTGGCTTATAATTCCTTACTGAATGTAGTATTTCATCTCAATGTACTCAGTCTTTGATATGATTTAAATCAAATTCCTCGTCATTATAATTCGCTTCCGATAGCAAAGAAAGTGACAGAGGTTATTGAAAACGAAAATATTTCGATTGACAAATTAGTCGGTAGACACAGCAATTATAGGACTTGAACAGCGGAACTTTGTAACTGAACAAGAAATTATGTCTGTTTATAGAATTAAAGAGAATGTATTTCACGTAAAAAACGAAGCAACTTAAACAACTTACATTGAAAGAAATGTTTAATAAAGTAAACAAATAAATATAAGGTTTTTTTTTTTTGTAAATTTTGATACCCTTTAGATCATAATTGTTCTTTATTTCATAAATTACGGTTTCATATTTTTAATTTTATAATTTCTGCATGCCATCTTACCAGATTTAAACTGATGATCTATAATCCTCAATCGCTGAAGTCCCGACGAGTCCGGATTAACGACTTTTGACTGTACAGCCTTTATTTTTGCAACCACTAGCTTGTAAATATATACTTAAATGCAATAAATGATGCAAGTATTCATGTTTTGCCATTTTAAAATTTTAAACAAATTAATCTTATAAAAATTAGGGAATTTAACTTTTCATGCCCCTTACCCCATATCTTATATTTAGTAAAGGTTTATACTCATTATAAAAAATAAAACACAAAAAAGCTTGACTCCGATATGATGAAAAGTGGCAGAGATATTTAAAGTTTCATATAATGTTCAGGATTTGTACACAAATTGGAAAGCAGTCTGTTTGCAAGTACAGAATTGAATATGAAATATCAATTTCAAAAAAGATTTATAAATTTATGACAGTGACAAGCATTGCTATGCAGATTATCGTAAAAAGTATCGATCACTATTGCAGACTAATGAAGAAATTAATCAATCTGGTTGTAACTAAAGTTTTCCACCAAAAAACATTCTCAATAAAGTTAGGGAAAAAAACATGAAAGCAGTACCTTTAGTGCAGGTAGTAATCACAACCTAAATCTATGATTTTCTGCTGTGTTTTAGTAGTTTTTCAAAGCCTTCAGCCCAGACACTTGTTGGCCACAAATCCAAAAACAGATCAACTTCATTTCGGATGTCCTATGCAGAATGGAAGATAGCAGCTGCCAGAATCCAGCCAGTGAGTGAATACAGACACATGTGATCTTGCATTATCTTTATGGAATATTACCTTTTTGCTCCAGAACTCAGTTTGACATTCATCCTTGATAGCAGCATCAACACAGACTAGCATCTCACTGTACACCTTCTTGTCAAGGGTGTTTTTTTTTTCCAGATACTCTTTGTGGATAATGCCACGGCAGTCCCACCAGATACCAAGCATGATCTTTTGTTAGTCAAATTGCACTTTACGACGCTGCCAATGTGCTCACCGGGTGCAGACCGACCCTCTTTCCAGCCTGTGTTGTTGAAGTAAATCCACTTTTTGTCACAAGTTATGGTCTGGTTTTCCTCACAGGTTATGGTCTGGTACAGAACTTTGTCCTTGTGTTGATATTTAAGCAGATTAGTGCAGGTCGAACACATCTGTCCTTATCTGCTTGAGTTAGCTCATATGGCACCCAGCGATTGAACTTGTACATCAAGTTTATGTGATGCATAGCATGACTAATGGACATGACACTAACGTCTGACTCCTCAGCAAGCTCTCGAGTGGTTGCATACTGATCTTCTTCCTTAAGTTCTAGCAGGCAGATCTCATCAACATCAGTAGGCCAGCCAGAGCGCTCTCCTTCTTGAATGTCATAGTCCTTGATTTTCAAAGTGACCTTCACAGTGTCATATGATACAACATTAGTACCTAAAGCTATGCACATGATTTAGTGACATTCTGTCGGTGGCTTTTTGAAAGAGAACTAGAAGTAAATAATGGTTCTGATCTGGTAGTGTGATAGTTCCATTTCAGACACCTTGCACTTAATGATATTTTTTTACCAATTTAACCATACAATGTTCTAAAGGAAATCTCTTTCTTTCAAATGCCAAAAACCATTTGACAAAATATAATTAAACCTGGCAACAAAAATTGTTTGCATGGACAGTTGCGGTGGCGGGAAACATCTATTAAAACCCAATGTTTTGAAACTGATTTAAGCCATCTGTTACACTCTCGTAGCAAATGGTCATCTTGCACCATACACCTAACGTCAACTATTTTTCTGTGTTTTAAGAATGAAATGCAATTTTATAATTAACTGAAATATAATATTTTGTACAACTCCAATTAATGAATCTACTTAATATGGTAATGAGTAATTTGCTCATAAATAGCTGTGATCTTCTCTTTATCGCTTAATTTTACTGCATTGCCTATGCCATTGCCACATAGACATTTTATGTGGATGCTTGCTATCAACGTATCTGTCTGATTATAGTTAATTCAGTAAGTCAAGATCAAAACCTGAGTATCAACATCTAATAGAAATTATTTAGAACTGATTTCTAGCTCATGCTTAGTTTAAATGATATCTCCATTTATGGGTAAGTGGGTCATATTCTACTCCATATTAGACTGGTTCTAGATGTCTCTTGGAAAGAAAAGCTGATCTGAGACAAGGTTCTGGCCTCTATAGATGTATATCCATTTGTTTTGTTTTACCAACAGCTGTTCATGCAATATATATATAATCACTGATGTTTAATTATCGATGATTTAAATTCCTTTTTTGCTGCTTCAGTAAGGCAAGTTAACATGCTTGACATTTATCGAAGGATTCTGTCCAAACTAGATGCAATGTGGGCCGCATCTGAGTGGGTGAGAAGATTGTCTGGAATGTTTGGCAAATCATTTCTTAAGAATCATCTCTGTAGAACAAATTCTGACAGCTGATATCTACCTGAACATTGTTGTTAGGTGTCTGAGTAGATATTTTGTGAACTATTGTACTCAAAAGCGGACATGTTAATGCCCACATAAAAAATTAAAAAAAAAAAAAATGCTGTGTACCACTCTGTAAGGAAGATTAAGTAAGAATTTCAAGACTACAACATGGAGTTCTCTTTGTTACTATGATTCCCAGATTCACTAGGTAACAATACAATGGAAGACCAATTTGCAAAATAGTTATGAACTCCATTGCAGCTATGATATCAGATATCAAAGAGATGCTTACCAGTATTTCTTCCTTGGGTAACTGAATCCAATGTAAACCATAGAATTCAGTTATATCTCTGAATTTGTTGGATCCACGCTGGATTGTCTGAATTGTTCATTTTGTACATGTTGTATAATTTTGTGGTGTTTAATTTTTCTAGAATGTATTTAATTTTTCTTTTTTAAGAAATACTAACTTCTTCCCTTTGAAGCAACTGATAAACTCTGTTATTTTAGAAATGGTTTCCTCAGGAATCGCACAGTTTCTGTTTGCATGTTATCCTCTGCTGTCTACCAGTACTTTTAGGTCGATAGTAAAGCTTCTCTTATATGCTGAACCCGATTTTATGTTATGCTGCGGAGTGAAGCAGAAGCATTTAAACAAATTTGCCTATTGTTACTTTGCCCATCTTGAAAGCAATATACTCAGAAAGAATAAGATGCAAGATCCCACATTTCCTAAACACGAGCATTGTTACATCGCATGCAAAAATATTATAATACCAGTTATTATTATAATACCAGTGATTTTTAATGATTCCTGCATTCATTAAAAGCCTTGAAAATTCATTGTTTTTCATATCCACAAAACAAAAAATTGCTGAAAATGTTTGCACGTATGGTCAGATCCTAACTTGCATATAATGACTCTAAACTTTCATAATGTTGTAGAATCTCCCTATTTTCTTCCTCTTCTTGGCAGAAAACTCGGCCACTGAATCGAAGCTTATGTTGGAATCTTCACTTTCTATATTCATGAGTACTGCTCAAGAGCTGATGGACAAAACCAACATGTCATCATTACAAAAGATGAACAAACATAAATAAGCTTAATAAAAGAAGTTGGGACATAAATACTGTTGCATGAGTACGTGTTTGTAATAGATTGAAAGCACAAATCTGATAAAAGATTAATAAAACTTATTCTCATCACAAGAAATGTAACAAAATGCTGGAATTTTCTCAGAGATATTCGTACAAGTACGCAGTATCATGCAATATAATTAGTAATTATTCTCCAGACTACTAAAAACGTTCACTACAATCAACAACAACAACTAACTAAACAACTGAGCTGCGATGTCTCTCTTCAGCTTTTTTAAAGCTTTCTTATCGGTCGCAAGAGAGTTCTAGTAATTTTTTTGCTTCTCGAGACTTCTGGAAAGCAAAAGAGTAGAATTACGGTTACAGATAGCACAGTAGTCAATTACATTTATTCAATTCAAATTATGAGATATCTATTTATTAAATGTTAAATGCACATACTCCTGTATTTTTACTTTTCCGGCATAGCTTTCTCTTAAAATAAGTCTTGTGCTTCATTGCACAGGGATCTAAAACAATTTTAATTATAATTCTACTAAAAATAGCAAATTAAATACAAAATCCCTAACAATACTTCTTTCCTCTTGGCATATGAACACATAGCTGCTTTTCCTGAGTATGTAAAATCTTTCCTTGATTACAGTTACTGACATGAATACATTTTTTTCCCTGAAGCAATTTCATAAAGTAGAAACTATTCCTATTGCCTGTTAGATAGCATTATTACTTCAGTTTTCACAAAAAATGCACATAAATAGTTCTCCCCCCCCTCTGGTTTTTAGTGACTTCCTGTATTGGCTGCTGTTGACCTATCTGAACTTTAAATATTAGCTGTGGTGATATGGAAATTTTCTGTTAAAGTACATACCTTTTCTGAAAATCTTATGGAAATTGCTGTAGTTTAATGATTTGTTATGTATAAATGTAGTTTTTTACCTTTTTTGTGTCTGTGTTTGTGTAAAAATATCTGAAATTGTGCCGATTTGTTAATTTGTCATCAGTGAATTCTGAAACATATAATTTTTTACTCTTATCTTAAATATTTTTTCCTTCAAAAATTTGCTAGGTTTGCAAGCATCTTTGCAGTCGAGAAATTTGTAAGCTAGATTTTCAGAAACAAAATACATGCTATTCTATTTTTAGTTAAATTTTGTATATGATGTTATAAAGGTTTGGCATAAAACATAGTTATTTTTATATGCAATACATTTTAAGTAGCCTTATTATTTAAAGTATAATATTAATCTAATAAATTAATACAATACTAAATTACATTTTATGCTTACCTTAATTTTTCATTTAAATCTATAGTAGTATTCTCCCCCCCCCCAGTTACTGCATAATGCAAATTTATTTAATTTTCTTGAGAGGTAATGTATATTTTTTTCTCATCTGTTATACACTCTGTTGCAAAAAAAAGTATGTGCACCCAGAAGGAATTAAGCCACAACTACAAACTTGCCAGTAGTATAGTGTTTGAATAGATAAAAGCAAATGATCAAAAACTAGGGTGAAAAAATGCATTTTATTTACGAGTAGCAATACAAAGAATGTGAGAATCAGCAGATGGTTAAGATATTCCTGGCAGCTATACAAGCAGATACTCGAAAGGGGATGGAGTCTGTTAAGTTGACAATGTCCCTCTGTGGTAGATAGTACCACAAGTAGAGCAGTTGGTGAGCAAGTTGAGATGTATTTGAGATGGCTGAATTTGCCTGCCCAACATGTAGCAAACATGTTCAATAGATAAGGATGTTAAGATGAAGACGTTGGGAAAGTCATGCTGTATATGGCTGAGTATTGTCCTGCTGGGAAATAGAACCTGAACAACTTGCTAACGTAGGCAGTCCGATCAACTGCAAAATATTGTCAACATACCTGTGAGCAGTCAGAGTACCTCGCAGCACGACTAATGGTGAACGGCTATCCGAGCTCATCACTCCCTAGGCTGTCATTTCCTGTACTCAGTAATAAATGGTAATGAGACTGCTCCTCTCTCTGTTTCCAAGTTTCCAACACATATACAGCATTGAGAGAAAAATGTGATTCATGCCTAAACATCACATTTATCTAATCAGGCATTGTCCAGCTTAAGCGAGAACTGCATCATGCAAGACGTCACTGCTTATAGTGGAATATCAATGGCAAGCATCTTAATCGACGTCAAGATCTGAGTTCTGCATCACACTAATCTTCTGCAAATTACATTCCTGGATATCCTGGGATTCCTGTGAGTTGGCAAATCATGTTGAATCGATGTCGTCGTAACTGTTGGTGTTGACATGGCAGCACGATTATCTTGCATGTTAGGTGGCATAAGGACATCCTCTCTAGCTTAATAAAAAAAATTTTTTTTCATGGTAAAATTAACACCATTGAAATGTTAATTGCTGTAAAATTTTGTATTTCTAATAATTTTTCTTTTGATTCAGTTACCAGATCCTGTTATTTCATATTATGTGCATTCTGCTGGTTTTGAAACAACAGATACAAGAGTGTAAGTTTTTTCCCTTATATAATGTATGTGTTTTGGTTTAAATTAATTATTAGGTATGTTTAAAATCGGTAAACTTAAACTTGATGAAATTAGGACTTCTGGATCGATATTATAACAATTAATATAATGCTAAGTGCTGGTATTAAGAAATACAGTACTTTCTGTTATCAGGACCGGATTCAGAAATGTGTGTATACATACAAATTATCAAAATTAATTAAATGACTGTTTTCAGCAAATTAAGGTAAAAATAAATACTTTTAATACATCAACGATTTCAGACATTAAAAGGTGCAAACCTACATTTTTAAACATTGTGGCACTCCTTGAAAGCGAAGATGGAAGTCCTTCAAGAAAATCAATGCAGCAACAAAGAAAAATTTAGAAGACGTTGTTTTTAAGTGGTTTTTGCAGCAGTATTCTATAGGAAACCCAATTTCAGGTCCGATTCTTTGTGAAAAAGCTAAAATCTTAGCTCAGAAGCTTGGTTGTTCATCCTTTAAAGCAAGTAATGGCTGGCTACAAAATTTTAAGTGAAGGGCACGGTGGCCTCAGTCAAACAATTTACTCTGACCGAGTGAATTCAGCAACTAAAGCAAAGTGATTTTTTTTTTAAACTGAAGTTATGTTTCCACTTGTATTTAGTTACTTGTTTTATAGTACAATACATATTTATTAATGTTATGTCAAAAGTCTTGCCTTTACATTTTAATTAACTAAAACTGCTTTTTCTTTAAAGCTAGTTTTTCCCTTCCATTTTCAACATACAGTACATACGGTAATTAATTAAGATTACAAAAATTAATTTAAGTACCATATTTGACGGCATATAAGACGCACTTTTTTTCCTAAATTTGGTCTCAAAAAGTTACCTGCATCTTATATGTGAAGGACACAGGTTAACTTTCAATACTGAATCCTATTTTTAGCCCGGATAAAGATCTAGACACGCATAACTTTTTCTACATCTACATGTGTGTGGCCTTCTAAATAAGGGTGTGTCTTATATGCCAGTGCATCTTATATGCTGTCAAATATGGTATTTAATTAAGAAAGGATCTATGTACGGAAAAAATCCAATTATTTGAATTTTTGATTATCCAAATAGGGTCTTGTCCCAATTGATTTGGATAATTGGAGTTCTACTGTACATATAATAACAGTATTGAAAACACTTTGAGAAAGGTAGCATAAATGCTACATGCAGCAACTCGCAAATGTCATCAGTCTCTTTTAACTTCCTGACAAAGCATCAAAAATTTTAAGTCGGTAAAATTATATACAGGGTGATTATAATTAAAGTTTAAGTTTCAAAACGCTATAGAAAAAGAACCACTCATGAAAATGACGCTAAATTTGAAAGGAATGTTATTGAAGAAGGCGGAAAGCGTATGGCAGAAGAAAAAATTTAGTTTCAAAAGTTAGCAACAGATGGCGCTGCAAGCGGAAGATGAGACAAATTAAAATGTTAGTTAAATTTCAGTGTTATAAAGCCGTCAGATAACCAGGCTGTTCCTCATTTCGCGTCTCAGACGTTCGCCATGGGTGTTTTACTGCAGGACCGCGCTCTACTGGTAAAGCTGTATTACAAGAATGATGATTGATGCAAGAGTAGCTCTGCAAAAATTCAGGACACTGAAGGGTATAAAAGAAAGCGTTCGTCCAATGAGTGTTCGTGAGGTCTAAAGAAAATGATGCAAAAATTCGAAAACGACAGGTTTCATTTGATGTGCAATCTGGTAGAGGGAGAAAACGAGTGCATTCGACGGTAGTTGAAGAAGTGGCCAGAGCATTACAGGAGGGGCTCGGCCGGCAGTGTGCAACCGTGCAGTGCACGAGGAAGTGCCCGAACATTGGACAGGCCTACGAGCGTGGTGCTGAAAATTGTACGAAACATCCTGCAATGCTATCCGTACAAAATTTGGCCATGTGCAGGAGTTGCTTCCGCCTGACCTGGACAGCTAAGGGAGACGTTTGCGTTAGAATTCCTGGCTTGCATGGAAGTGGATAATGAATGGCCGTGGAAAATTTTGTGGAGAGATGAAGCCCATTTCCATCTGACAGGGATACGTGAATACCCAGAATTGTCGAATATGGGCAACAGAAAATCCACTGGCAACCGCACCCCGTACCACTTCATCCTGAAAAGGTCACGGTATGGTGTGGCTTTACGGCATCATTCATCCTAAAACCACATTTTTTCGAGCAGACGGGTGCTTCCGGTCCAGTTACCTGCAACCGTCACTGGTCAGAGGTAGTGTCTCTTTTGCGCAACCACGTGATTCCAGCTCTGCAACAGCGTGGATGTGTCGATGAAATCATTTTTATGCAACGATGGCGCTCCTCCGTACATTGCACATCCCATGAAGCAGCTGCTGAGGCGCCATTTCGGAAATGCTCGAATTATCGGCCGTCATTTCCCTACAGCCTGGCCGTCCCGATCGCCTGATCTTACTCCGTGTGATTTCTGGCTGTGGGGATATCTGAAGGATGCTGTGTTTCCGTGCTCCAATTGCAAATTTAGCGGAATTAAAGGCACGCATTTCGCAACACATTCTGAACATCACCCCGGAGACACTGCGATCCGTTGTGGAACATGCTGTTTGTCGCTTTCAACTTGTTGCACACACAACACCATATTGAACATGTTTTGTGCCAGTCTCGCGACAGTTCCGAACTTCTTTGATGAATGGTTCTTATGCGGTATGTCGCCGCAAAACTCTTGAAACCGATTTGTCCCTTTCGATGTGATATGTACAGTCATGCAAATAAAATTATTCAACAATTCTAATTTGTCAATGCATTTTAATGTGTAACTTCCACCTTAGCCATTGTTTTACGAATCGCTTCTCGTTTCTCGTCGTGATTTTGCCGCTTACAGCGCCATCTGTTGCTAACTTTTGAAACTAAATTTTTTCTTCTGCCATACGCTTTCCGCCTTCTTCAATAACATTCCTTTCAAATTTCACATCATTTTCATCAGTGGTTCTTTTTTATAGCGTTTTGAAACTTAAACTTTAATTATAATCACCCTGTATATATTAAAAGCATGTATTTACCTAACTGTCTTTTGCACTGAAGGATTTTACTGAAAACAACTTAAGTGTTGAGCTTCTTGTATTGAATGGAAAAATGGTGTCATGAAAAGATTCAGTACTTTGCCCTCTTCACCACAATATCCATGAGTAGCATAATCACTAATGTTTTCTATGAATGTGATTACCATAGCACCTACTTTGTTGTTTTTCCCTTTCTATTGTTTTTCCCTTTCTGTATAAGCATTATAGCTAGCTGATTAGATTATTATTTTAACATTCTACTGCTGTAAGAATTATATTGCTGAGTTATCAGTTATTTGGTACTTTCCAGTTTATGGAGATCCATTTGGGACTAAACATAAATGTTTACACATAATTTAACTAGTTGCTTACCCTAAGGATGTATACAGCTTTATGAAAAAATTTACAATTAAGTCCACTCTAAAGATCAGGGCCAAATTTATGTGTAAGCTACACAAGCTATAGCTTAGAGCTCCCACTTTCTTGGGGGCCCCAAAAAATTAAAATATAGTATAAATAGTATTAAAATATATTATAAGACTTATAAAGGGTCCCATATCTCAAGTAGTTAGAGCCTTATCAAGTCTAGGCTTTGCTAAAGATATATACAGCTTTTTGAAAAGAATGGTTGTAATCCAAAATAAACACAAAACACAAGTACAAAAAATCTTAAGAAAAATATGAAATGGATATTGCCTGACTTATTTCAAATTACATGAAAGATCCTTTGAAGCTGTAGATTTTATTTAAAATTACAGAACATCTGCATCTTTTCATGCAATCGACCACACATAACTCCAATTAGCTAGAAATCTAAGTAGTGGTAGGTAGTGCTGCAATGGCATTTCAACATTTTGTACTCTTCACAGCCTTTCAATAATTTTCATGTAGTATCCATTATTAGCATCAATAAAGTTACATTTATGATAAATTCACAGTTGTTCATATCTAGCAGCTACTGGTTCATACTGGTTCATCCACTTTTAGACACTTTCCAAAAATCGACTGGCCTTGTACTTTCCTTTGCCCATTTTCTTGTACTGTTTTAGTCAAATTTTCACTGAAATTTCTGACACAGCTAATAGGAAATATTCTTTTGATTCACAGATTCATAATGTGATCAGCTATTTTATGTGGCATTCTGGCACCAATTATGACTAATGTCCTGTTAATCAGAAAGTATTGTTTATGTTTTAATATTTTTGACAAAATTGTCATATTGTGTTTCAAATGAGAGCTCTGATATTTCAAGTCATGCTTTAAATAATATTTAATTATATTAGAGACTGATAAATCCTTTAATTTAGCTATCTATCAGCATTTTTAATGTAATTCACTTTTTTTAAAGTTACAAATTTATGAATTTCTATTAATATTTCCTTCCTTTTATGATTACAAAGCATATCACTGTATCTACAAATGAATGATTGAAGGGAAATAAGTTTTTTAGACGTTATATGTTATAATCAGTGCAAAATAATGCCATAAATTTATATATTTCAGCCTATAATGTCTGAAGAAGAATTAAGATCTTTTATATTTCTTGACCTGAATCCTGATAACACCCAAGACTTCCTGTGTTTTGAAATCGCCATTTTTTGTATGTAGTGTACTAAGATCACATATTTATTTTCATTATAAGGCATTTATGTACCTCTAAAAAAATGGCAGAAAATTATTAGTTTTAGAAACTGAAGAGGGCCTTTGTAAACTCAGTGATATTCAGTATTCATCTTAACAATATCAGTTTAATCAGATAGATTCTGTTATACTCAGGGCATGTACTATCACAGTGCATTAGGAATTTGCTAAAAATTTCATATGTATATGATTGTTCTTATAAGTAAAAGAATCAAAAGACAAGCTTTCCTATTTTATATAATTTTTATAAATGCATATCCTCTTAGTTTAAAAGCATTGTTTTTCTCATGGCTGACCTGCCTTAGCAATTTTATCATTGATTTTTGTCATATTTTTTTAAGAATTTTCAATGCAATTTTCTTGCATGTTTTTATTATCTGTAAACATATATTAATGACAAGCTTTTCATTATTTTTTTGTCTTTTCTAGAATTCGGTTAATATCAATTGCAGCTCAGAAATTCATATCAGATATTGCTAATGATGCTCTACAACACTGCAAAATGAGAGGTGCTGGACAGAGCAAAAAAGCAGCTAAGGTACCATTTTTTTCATCTTGTACTCTTCTTGGATGTACAATACATTACCCCCTAAGTGTATTGTATATATAAATAAGATAGTAATGATATATTAAGTCGACAAACATACTATTTTAAAAAATGTCCAACAGTTATAATTCTGCATATATTGGAAGGAAAGGTGTGTTTTGGACTTAAATCAAGGAAATGCCATTGACTGATGTCTTTTTTTTTAATGGCCTGGGACAAAATCCTTTGCCTGTTTGAAGGGTTAAGCTTTCTATAGAAAAGGAATAATATGTTAAAATGTGCTATTTCTCATACACTGTATTTACTCACATATTTTCCTTTTTTCTTTACCCCTCTTTAACAATGGGGGGAAGGGGGGAATATGCAGTGTATGCTATTTCTTTAGAGACAATTTAAATAATAAACATAACACACAAAAAAGCATACATGAAAATGCACTAATATTATTATATTATGTATTTCAGAGGACATCAATTACAATAATATTATTTTTACTTGCACAATATACTTTTGTATTTGTATGGACATTTTACATTATTACACAAAATCAGAAGTTTCTAAATTATATGCTGAGAAAACTGGGGGAAATGCACTATGGAAAGAAATCTGTGACTAAATATGGTTTTTACTATTTATATATATATACGAGGGCTGTCCAAAACGTTTCCAACCTAACAAAGAAAAAAGGTATTTGTTCTCCAAAATTAACTTAATTTTTCGACATAGTCTCCTTGTAAGTCTATCAATTTCTTCCAGCAGGGCATTCATCCTTATAACCCGCCCAAATAATATGTGGAATCTTCCTAAGTCTCCTAATTTTTTGATGAAAATTTTTGTCCTCCAACTGCTTCTTTTAGTTTAAAGAACAAAACAAAAACAAAAGAGTAACTGGGTCTGGCAAATAGGGCGGATCATCAAGCAGTTCAAATCGTGATTCGTGGAATTTCGCCATTGCAACCTCTGAGGTGTGAGATGGAGCATTGGCTTGGTGAAACAAAATTTTTTCTTTTGTAAATGTGGCCGTTTTTTCGCAATTTCTGCCTTCAGCTTGTTAAGTAACGTTGCATAGTATGTTGCGGTAATGGATTTCCCTTTTCAAGATAATCTATTAAGACAATCTCATGGCTGTCCCAGAAAACTTGCCATCACTTTCCCAGAATAAGGAACAGTTTTTGCCATTTTTAGAACCAATTCTCCCTATGTAGTCCACTGTTTTGACTGTGTTTTTGTTTGGCTGTAATGTTGGAATCCAGGTTTCATCTACAGTGATTAATAGTCGAAAACACTCTGATTTATTGTGCCAACAGAAGGTGCAAATATTCATTCTGACACATTTTCAGTCCAAAGTCAGCCAATGCAGCGCCCAGCATACAGCCAGCTTGTGCATATCCAAATACTGGTTCAGTATGTGGCAACACATTTTTTGGACATGCTAATAGCCTTTGCTATCTCTCTAACCATGAATCAATGGTCATCAGCACCATTTGGTGGATTTTAGGGATGTTTTCGTCAGTGGTTGCAGTTTTTACTCTCTTGAACGTTCATAGGCATCCAAGTTGGTACAGCCACGTTTAAATTCAGCTGCCCAAAATTCCACTGTAGTAAATAATGGTGTATAGTCCATGTACACTGTGTCCAACTTGACTTTAATCTAAGTAGGCATTTTATATTCAAAAAAGGTATGTCTAATGACAGCACGATACTCGATTTGTTTTCCATTTTTACAAAAATGGCCACATTAACTCGCAAAAGTAATAGTCAAACAAAAACTTCACATTCAAAATAGCTGGAATTTTTATTGGTAGTTTTCAAGTTGTGCCCAAACAAGTTCCCCCCACTTCTGTTGATTTGAGTTCCCATCTACACATTGAGGTCGGAAACTTTTCAGACAGCCCTCTTAGCTTGTTCTGCATTGTGCAGAGCAATTATAAAATTAATAAAACATAAGTAAAAGGTATTGTGTGTCATGTTGGACACAATACCTTTTACTTATGTTTTATTAATCTATATAACATATCCAAGAGCTTCATTAATATTGCATCAAATAAAAAAAATATTTAAAAAAAGCATTAAATCATTTTATGCTGATATTTTTAGGTAGTTAAAAAATTGGTATAATGCAGGAGCAATTCCTGAATTTTATTATATATATTGATCAGTTTTAAAGATTCTCCAAAGTGTTTGAAGAGTTTACTTGAGGAGGGAAAAAAGTAATTAAAATGGTTTTCCATATTTTTATCAGAATTCTACAAAATGCCATATTTTGAACTATTAATACTGTGGGTCGAGATTTCAAAAATGAAAAGAAAAGCATGAAAAACTGAAAAATAGCAGTCAATAAATGAAAATATCATTGTCAATAAATGAAAATATCATTGTCAATAAATGAAATATCATTGTCAATAAATGAAAAGGAAAAAACAAAAAAAAAACTTAAATTCATTATCAATATACAATAGAAGAGAAAGTAAAAAGAAAGACAAACAAGAAAATGATTGTGAAACATCATGCTAAAAAAATAGCAGGAACATCAACGTAAAAAAAAAGCAAAAATAAAGACTAACAAGAAAAAGAATTGCTAAACATTATGCTAAAAAATAGCAGGAATACTATAGCATCTTTTAATGAAAGAAAAAGAAGGGGGATTCTAAATTAGCATACAGTAGAAAATAAAGCAGGGAACAAAAGTAAGGATAAACAACAATAATGTTTAAAAAATCTTTCAAAACTGTGCTTAAATTTCTTTTGTTACACTTTTGCATTTTCATAACTAAAAACAAATCACTGTGAAGTATATACAGTCAAAAGTCTTTAATCCGGACGTCCATAATCTGGATATCAAAGCTACAAACTTTCTGCGCATGCGTAAACACATAATGCTTTTACACATGTGCATAATGCCTTTATGCATGTGCATAATACGTTTATGCATGTTCGTTTAATTTATAACGGACAGTGTAAGCTAAGATAAAATTATCTAATTATGTGTTTCAGTTAATGTTGCAGATTGCGTTGTTCCTTAATCTTCTAATTGGATCCGGCTTATTATTTTTTGCAGACTATTAGAGCAATTTTATAAAAGTAAGTTTGAACTTTCAGTTATGTCAAAAAGAATTTCTGATTCTGGAGCTGCCAAAGGATCTACAAAGCAAAAGCATGTTTCGATGTCCATCAAACAAAAAGTGAAATTGCTGTAAAAAATGGATAAAGGCATATCCTTTGTTTCTCTAACCATTCCGAAATCTGTTTATCAATTTCACACTGCTCTGCGAGGGGGGAACGTCACGGCATGCAATGAACTGGAAGTTGATCTGTCAGCACTATCCTTATCTTCAAGGCAGATGTTTTTTATTTTATTTGGCTTATGATTCCTTACTAAATGTAGTATTTCATCTTGATGTACTTCGTCTTTGACATGATTTAAATCAAATTCTTCATTATTATAAATATCCCGAATACACATCAAATAGTTTTCTGGTTGCAATTTTCTAATTTCTAAAGATAGGGAATGCACAGATTAAAGATTTGCACACACTGAAAATAATTTTTTTTTTAATATATATGGGTATTTATGCATATGCTTGCAAAAAGCATGTATCTGCCTTTAACAAAATACGTAAATACAGTACAAAGTCCATAATCTGGACTTCTGCTATCCGGAATGATCTATATTCCGGACCTGAAAGCCACAAACTTACGCATGCACGTAAAGCATTTACCCATGCACGTTTAATGCGCGCATGCGCATTTCCGATAGAAAGTGATAGAGAGGTTATTGAAAATGAAAAAATTTCGATTGACAAGTTAGGCGGTTTTCTCAACACAGCAATTACAGGACTTGAACAGTGGAACTTTGTAACTGAACAAGAAATTATGTCTGTTTATAGAATTAAAGATAAAGTATTGGCACAAAAAACGAAGCAACTTAAACAACTTACATTGAAAGAAATGTTTAATAAAGTAAACAAATAAATATTAAGCCTTTTTTTTTTTTTTTTTTTTTTTTTTTTTGTTGTTGTTGTTGTTGTTGTTGTTGTTAATTTTGATACCCTTTAGATCATAATTGCTCTTTTTTTTTTCATAAATTACGGTTTCATATTTTTAATTTTATAATTTCTGCATGCCTTCTTACCAGATTTAAACTGATGATGTATAATCGAGAAAAACCGATAATCCGGAATCGCCGAAGTCCCGACGAGTCTGGATTAAAGACTTTTGACTGTATTTAGTGATTATGTTGAAAGTAATTTTTAGAAGCTGAAAGGAAAATTATGGAAATTTATTAGAGGCTTTTATAAGTGGAGCTTCAATTTAAAATTTGTCTAGGCCTTGCTAGAGGTTTAATCTAGCACTACAGTGTGTCTGTAATAACAAGCCATTATGGCCAGTGTATTCCATCTAACACGCAATTTGCCTTGTATAGGTGGATCCTTGTTTTAAGACTTATCCAATTTGTTCTTATTCATCCACATTCATGTGAGCTTGTAAAGGTATCATTTTCCATCATCTGTAATGATGAGATCAAATCACACATCAGTGTGATAATAAGACAGTGACTTTACACGGAAACAATTTTTGTTCCTTAAAGGTCCTTAATTTTACTCATCTGACATTTCTTTTTGTTTTTTACAACTGCCATTTTGGAAGAGTATTTTTTTAACAATGCATTGACAAATATGTATTTGGTTTGCTGGCGTTTGAATTCTTTCCTGCTTCTAATAGTGGATACTGGAGTTTCAGGCATGAGGCGTTGCCTTGATTGAAACATAAACATTTTAAATTATTTATTTTTTGTGTATGAAGAGTTCATAAAATATTACATCAAAAACAACTTTTCTCTTTTGGAAATGAGATTTCTTTTGTTATGTAGCATTAAATTTCGCAATATCAGGATCAGTGTGTATACAAAATTTTTTATTCGAACATTTGCAAAATTTTGACGATTCTTTTGTACAAACATTTCATTTATCTTGCCTTGATAAATATCATAAAAATGTTTTATTTCATTTTTATTTTCTCACACCATAATTTAAAGTGACATTACTTTCCATTTTGGTTACTTGGGAATATTTTGATTCTGAAAAATAAACAAGATAATAAAGGCTATAAAGGCACAAATTCTGAACCATGTTTTAGTAAAAACAAAAGTGCTACTGCAGTTATTTAAAAATTAATTTCATTTGTCCTCTTTATTTATTTATTTTCATAAGAGATTTTTTCCCCATATAGTCGCTTCAGAATATTTAATTGTGTGTCAGTTTTCTGTTGTAAATTCACTTTACACTTCTGTTTCCTGAATTTTTCAAAAATCTTCTGGCTTTTTATTCTTACAGAGTTGAGAGGGATAATTTTTATTTTGCATTTTAAACCTTGCACCTGGTTCTAAAGGCAAGATTTATAGATCTACAATTTCAGAAAAATGAGATGAAATGAAGTGTCTGCATGGTATCAACAAGTGATGGACGTGTTTTAAAGGAAATTCGTGATTTATTTCTTATCTTTTAGACAATTTTTGGAAGAACTGTGAAAAAAAAAAAAAAAATTATTCGAATTTTCTCCTTTTGGTCCTAGAATTCTGTTTCTTAATATGTTTATCTTCCCTTTATTTTGTTATCTATCCACTAAATACAAGTATTGAAGCAATCAGAGAAAGCAAAGAAGTTGAAAACTGATGATTTATTAAAAGATTCATCATATATGTTTTAATGCTCCATGCATAGTTTAAGTGCCTGTGCTAAATTTTGTTGCTCAGTGCTTCATTAAATTCTAAAAATTTTGCCACACTAGTTCCAGTGCCAGTCTTGACCTTATATCATTTCATATTTATTATTGATACTCATATTATTAAAGACATAAAATTAACTTATTTTCCCCCTATACATTCTAAATACAAGAAGTTCTTTGAAATATCTTAAATGTTTAAATAAATTTGAAAATTCTAACATGAAGAGGAAATTCATTAAAAAGAAACATTTTTAAAAAAAGAGAAAATTATTCTTCAAAGGTACATTGTTGAAACAGTAACAAATTAGGAGATGAAGCAGAGTCTAGTGGGAACATTTATTTGTTTATTGAAACAAATAAAGACACTTAAACATTTTATTGTTTATCGTTGCTACAAAACTTAAATGTTTTATAGCTTTTAATGTGTAGTTACGCTAATATCATTTTAGAATCAGTATCATAAATTACAAGTGCTGTAATGTCCTCTTAGGGCTTTTTAATGAATGTTTTTTAGAAACAAAAAAAAATTAACCTTGTAAATTATTATGACTAAGGGTATCTTAACTACATAATTTAATGATTTGTAACTAACTGCGAACCTTTATAAATTATCTGTGTACATTAAGAGGAAGTTATCTTCTTTCCTTAATCTTTATTGTGGACACAAAGTACAACACAAAAATTTAAAAATTAACATAAAACTTTATTCCTTACAGTTAATGAGATTTAAAATAATACAGTCAAAAGTCGTTAATTCGGACACCCATAATCCGGAATGATCTATAATCCGGACCTCAAAGCTACAAACTTTCTGCGCATGCGTCGCGTTCACACATGCGCACAGGCATTTACGAGAGCGCGTAAGACCCTTACGGCTGCAAATATGTTTGTGCGCATGCGCGTTTAATGTGTAACGGAGTTATACGCTAAGCTAAAGTTATCTAATTCAGTTAATGTTGCAGATTGCGTTGTTCCTTAATCTTCGAATTGGATCCGGCTTATTATTTTTTGCAGACTGTTAGAGCAATTTTATAAAAGTAAGCTTGAACTTTCGATTATGTCAAATAGAATTTCCGATATATATTTACTACAAAGCGAAAGTATGTTTTGAAATCCGAAATCTGTTTATCAATTTCACGCTGCTCTGTGGCAGAGGAGGGGGGGGCAGAAACGTCATTATTAGATTATGATAGATTAGAAAGATTATGTCAAATAGAATTTCCAATATATATTTACTAATATGTAATTTGTATCTACAAAGCGAAAGTATGTTTTGAAATCCGAAATCTGTTTATCAATTTCACACCATGGATTGGAAGTTGATCTGTCAACACTATCCTTATCTTCAGAGCAGATGTTTTTATTTTATTTGGATTATAATTCCGTACTAAGTTTAGTATTTCATCTGGATGTACTCCCTCTTTGATATGATTTAAATCAAGTTTCTTGTCATTATAATTCGCTTCGGATAGTGAAGAAAGTGACCCAGAGGTTATTGAAAACGAAAACATTTCGATTGACAAATTAGTGGGTATTCTCAACACAGCAATTATAGGACTTGAACAGCGGAACTTTGTAACTAAACAAGAAATTATGTCTGTTTAATAGAATTAAAGAGAAAGTATTATCACATGAAACGAAGCAACTTACATTGAAGGAAATGTTTAATAAAGTAAACAAATAAATATTAAGTTTTTTCTTTTTGTAAATTTTGATACCCTTTAGATCATAATTGTTCTTTATTTCATAAATTACGGTTTCATATTTTTAATTTTGTAATTTTTGCATGCCATCTTACCAGATTTAAACTGATGATCTATAATCCGGAAAAATCGATAATCCGGAATCGCCGAAGTCCCGACGAGTCCGGATTAACGACTTTTGACTGTACAAAACAACTTATCATCTGTGGTGTTTCAGTGACTAATTGGAACTTTATATTAAATACTATGGATTAACTGGGTTGCAACTACATGAAACTATGGTACTGACTGTCTACATGAAACTATGTAGAAAATCTACATGAAACTATGGTACTAACTGTGTCAGAGAAAGTGCAGATAACTTTCAACACTTAACCAACCAACAACAGACAATTGTGTGTTCTGGTCAGGGGCTGTCTGTCTCTAAGCAAGCAGTTGCAATGGCAATAGCCAGACTTCTGTTATGAGTCATTCTGATTATTATTTTACTTCACAATTTAACTTAATGCCACTTGACATAAAATTTGCAAATACCTCTGGACTGTGCAAGTATGTGATGAAATAAGGCATAAAAGAAACAATCAGTATAAAGCTAACTGTTTGTAAAATGTAAATAAAAACCCACTAATCGTCTTTAAAATATGTGGAAATATTTTAAGTATAAAATACAAATGTTTCAAGAAATTTTATAATTGAATGCTAATTACTTAAATTTTTTAATTTGTTTTATGATATAGTTAAATATTAAATTATGTTTCATAATAATGCATCTTACAGATTTATTTTACTCTTACAAATTACAAAAGTGAAGTATGAATGTAGTTTATTCAGTTGCTTGATAGGTCCTTAATTTTTTTCATTGATGGTCCTTAAAAGTACTCGATTTCCATATGGAGAAGTGTGTATGAACCCTTAATTATAATGTAAATAATTTTGAATAACCCTGCCTATGAGTTCTGCCATGAAAAGTAAAAGTTATGATATTCTGGCATCGTGTATTTTATGTTTTTCTTAACTTGTCAGTATTTTTGTACTTCTTTCACTTGAATTTTGTAATTAAGAAATCCACTAATGCATTTATGCAACACTACATTGAAATTATACAAATTATAATTTCTTGTTGTTAATAAACATTATGTATATATTACAGGACAAGAGGTATGTTTTAACTATGGAAGATCTCACTCCAGCTCTAGCGGAATATGGAATTAATGTCAAAAAACCACACTATTTTGCATAAATGGTACCTGAAAATGTTGTAAATAGTTTTTATGTTTTAGAAGCATGTGGTGCTTTATTAATTTAATTAATTAAATTTTGTTCTAAATAAATGTGTTTTTCTTACTTTATGTGTCATTTATTCAAATATTCTGATTGAGGGTCAATGAATTAATTATTAAGTTGACATGTTAATTTTTGTTGCAAAAAATATACTTCATTCAGTTGAAAGAACTAAAGCTATAAAAGTGTATTTTGTTTTAAATGCATAATTTTTTTATAAATGGTATAAACTCTTACTAAATGTAAGTATAGGGATGGAAAGACTATATAAAAAAAGTTATAATCTGTAACATTTAGAAAATAAACTTTTTTTTTTTTTTTTTTTTTTTTTTTTTTTTTTTTTTAAATTTAAATCTCAGGAGAACATCAGATTACAAACAAATTTATTGAACAAAAAGCATCTCCCATGATGAATGATGTTTGAAATAACTGACATATGAGCTGGAAACAAAGACTTTTATATTACTTGAGGTAATCTTTGATACAGAAGGTAACACTCAGAGACATTTGGAAACATTGTTATAATATTCTTTTTTGTTTAACTCTCACCAAGAAAAACCCTGACAGGATCATGAATTCAATCTTGAGATAAACTATGACCAGACTGTTGCAAGTAGAGAAATAACAATGAAAGTCTAATTGTGGAGGCAAAGGAAAGACAGAAAAATGGCCGTAGTTCATTTCTCTGTGAAATTTTATAGAGCAGTATTACCCTAATAAATCAGTAATAAGCCACAGGATAAGCATTTTTTGTGGCAGTGCCATGTCTCATATTAAAAGCATTTTAAAATATACATAAAAAGAAATCACATAGATAAATTTTTAATGAGACAGAGGCCCAGTGTGTCTCAAGCGGAGTTGAATGGTACTTAAAAGATGAAGAAGCCTGCTAAAAGACAATAACCTGATGATCTTATAAAAGTAAACTCTTCTCCATTAAAATTTGTTCCCTTTTACCACCTTCACTTACTGTCATCAAATCATGAATGAGCACAGTAAATTTGATTTTTTGTTTATTTTATTTGTTTAGTATTGTATCTCTCTCTCTCTTTTAATTTTTTTTTTTAAACTTAGTTTTAATGATTTATATTTGTTTTGTGTTTTGAGCTTATTGACAAAGTACTCTATCATAACATGACTAATTGAAGCATTTAAAATATTTTACCAACTGGAAGTCTATGTCTGCAACAAAAAGATTGTAAGTCCATGTAAGGACTTATGAATAAAAAAAAAAATAAAGTCCATATAAGGACACTGTGTATGTATACCTGTTTGGCTCTAAATAGTTCTATTTGAAACCTTGTTGGCCCACTTTTAGTTCACTCAGCAACTTCAATGCCTGTGAACTCAGTGAGCTTCTGGTATGTGTCCACAGAAAATGCATATCAAATGTCAGAGCACATGTCTGTCAGTTTTTTAAATTGCATAGAGGTGGATCATAAGTTCAAAGGAACTATCCCGTGATGCCACACAGCTACTATATTGTATTGAGATCTGTGGAATTATGTGGCCGGGAAAATAGGTTGTATTCTGAAATAGACTTTTAAAACCTTGAGGATACAATCTGGGCCTTTGGGAGGAGTGTTGTTCTGCCTTAACAGTCCATTGTTTAGTAAGACAAGTGCCATGAATGGGTGTAACTGGTCTGCAATGACATTCACGTAGTCTATAGGTTTCCTGGTTTTGTCTATGGTAAACATAGGTTTTTGTCTATAGTCTATAGTAAACTATCCTCCACAGCAATTGAACCACCATCAGCCTAAGTTGAACCCACTGTACACAGGTCCTGATTTTTGAAGGCACTGGTTGAACACATTAGGTATCAATAAGCAAAAATAGAATCAAAATATATAACTGTTACCTTTTGAAGTTCATGTGAAGGCGATATATCTATATGGGATTAAAGAATGATGCATTTTGTTTCACGGCAATAGAAATGGGAAAAAAGACCTTATGAAAATTACAGCTAATGTATTCACTGGAGGACTTTTTTGAGGGAGAGCATCTGGTAGTGCAGTCTATCCTTTATTGTAGGGATTCACAGAAACATGAATTGGCTGGTTTGAATGACTTCTGCTTTGCTGTACATCAAAATCAGCTGTCAACTGAGCTATGAAATTACACTAATTTGCATGAAACTAAATGTGAAAACCTATGGCACCTTTTATCTTTGATGATGCAGGAATGGCCACTCCCTTGGCATTTATGTTTCACCATCAGTAAGATGCTTTTTGTGGATACTACAGCAGTCTGTGAACCTTCAACCACAATGGTCATTTACAAAAAAATGTTCAGGCATATCAAATTCACATAAATCTGGGGTCCAACCCATAATGAGAGCCCAAAATAATCTGTATGGTAATTGTGATTTCTTTGCACTAGATTTATATTTTTCCAAGGCTTATATGTGCTTTACCATCAGGTGGATGTCGAGATTTAAGGGGAGGTGGGCGTAATGTTTTAGCTATTCCAATGTATTTGCTTGTAATAGATTGAATGTACACAGTATGGATGATAGCCTAATAAAATTCATTTTACCGAAATAAACACTTCACCAGTTATGGAACTTTCTACTAAAATACTCGTTCTGTTCTTCACAGTATCACAGAGCACATTCAGTTGTTACACTTCAAACTACTAAGCACATCTAAAGAGCAAAGCTGACATGGAAATATCTCACTACTCCAAACGCTGAACTGAATAGTCTTAAATTGTGCTAATATGTGTAATAACTGAGAAACTGAGCTCTCTTCTACCTTATGTAGTTTCCCCCCCCCCTCAGCCGCCAAGAAATCGCTAGTACCTTCTACTTCTCGAAATTACTGGAAGAGTCAGATACAGTTACTTATAAGATAAATTACATGCCTCATTACACTGTTATAAAGGGACCAGGCCAAATGGTCGCCAAGTTTGATGATCTCTCGCCAACTTAGGCGGCAAAAATTAATCGCCAACTTGGCAATATCTGGCCAATTTAGTGAGATAAGTTTGCTTCTTTATATTTCCACTTTATATTTTACAAAAAGTAGTATAATTTCACTAAAATTATGTACATAAGGTGCAAAATTCGTAACAGTATCTAAACTAGTGGTTCTCAGCCTTCTTTGCTTCATGCATCATTTTCACAATTTCTAGAATATCATTCATTCGCCCTTCCCTCCTTTCAAAAACGTAAAAAATACATATATACATTTATTAAGATTTAAATTATTTTTAGCATGCTTTATAAATTAAACAACAAAAAGTGTGTAAAATATTGGTAAATACCAAAACTTGAATCAAAGTAATCTGTTTACCCATAAACTAAAACTAATATTTAATAGCTAAATAAAAGCAGACTGTATTCCTACCCTGAAATTATGCTATTCCCTAATAGTTCAGAACCTCTGATCTAAACCAAGGGAAGTCAACCTTTTTTATTACCACCCACTTTGTAGGTAGTAAAATTTCCGTACCACCCATCTTTTTTGGAGTAACTTAATTTAGCATAAAAGCAAAGCAATATTTTTAATGGAAGCATAGTAAAAATATGCATAGTTAATTTTATCCACTTGTTTATATTTTGCTTATAAGAGACAGAAAATTTACGTCCCACGTTGCTAGCTGGGACATCAGTTCCAGCGAAACTGTTTCGGCTAGGATACTTTCAATGGTGGGTAAAGGAAAAGTTCGTTTTTCAGAAAAATTTCTTCTAGCCTTACGCATTGTTAAGATATAATAAAGAAAAGTGGCAAATCCTTACAAATATATGGGAACATGAAGAGAGCTGCGCACAGATGAACTGACTTTAATCATCGGATGGTCAAAACTGTCTTTACCGCCCACCATTAAAGCCTAAATCGCCCACTAGGGGGCGGTAGGGAGCAGGTTGACTATCCCCGTTCTACACAATCAGATCTGGGACAAGAGAGATGCAAGTGAAGCACTTGCCTCGGGTGTACAATTGAAAGTGACACCCAATTGGCTATGAAAAGTTAGGATTGTTAAATTTAGACTTTAAAACAGATGCAAAAGCATAGTTTTAAAACTGTATGCTTGCTGTTTACACTAATTTAAAGCTGCTCAGACGGTATAGTGGTTAGGGTAGCCTACTGCGGTACCGAAGGGCCCAGGTTCGAATCCCAGAGAAAGCATAGATGTTTGTAAATGTATACTGTCTTTGGGGCATGGGGCTACTCCAAGTATATGGCGAGCTGAAAATCCTCTCGTATGGATTGGTGGTAGGGGAGAGGAATAGGAGACCCTCGGACTACTGCCCGCAGTGTCGGGTTTCAAAATTGGAGTGGGAATAGAAGTCTAACCTTCTTGAGGCTCTGGCAACCATTCTTCCATGAAATTAATAAACAAGAAACAACAACAATAATTTTAAAGCAAATATTCTTCAGTGCGTTCAAATATACATAAAGATTTCAATTTCTTAGAACTGTCATCATTAAACAATCCCTTTCGAATTATTTTCATCAATTACGTTTCAACACTCGGTAGCTCTTTAATCATTAAATTTGATTTTGTTATATATGATACCTTTCTTGATATATTAACAATCCACACGTATATATGATACCTTTCTTGATATATTAACAATCCACACGTTATTTTGACTGTTTTATTATATGCATATAGTTTCTCCAAATACTTAATTTCGGACGTGTTGGCGAAGAAAATTACTCTTCTTTCCTCCTACTCATCATCCCCACGAGTAGCTGAGTGGTTAAGACCAGTAAATTGCTTGGAAGTTTTCAATCTCACTGTAGGGCCGTTTTTCATGTTTTTTATTTTTTCCCATGTGTAACATGTATACAAGGCAGTTTTCCGTATAAAGGGGCCATCCCGGAGGCAAATAGCACTGCTTTGCTGTATTCAAATAACAAAACCTTAACTGGTCAACTCTTTCATCTACCAGATCAACATATTTGCCTGGATAATTGTGTTCATCCTTTAGCCACGCAGGACCTACCCACCAGGTAGATACGTTCGAGGCTTCTATGGAACATCCTTTACAGCAGAGTTTCTTAAATTCAGAGCCGCGACTCCAAATGAGATAGCAAATTGAAATTTTGGGGTAATGAAAATTCAGTTGGATAATTGAATTTAAAGAAACTGTAATTATAAGACTTAAAGAAATTACATTAATTGACATTAATGAGATCAGACTTTTAAAGACATTGCAATAATTGATTATTAATGTGATTAATTACCTGTTATATAAAGTGCAAAAGGAATTTGTAAAGCTATGTAGCGATTCAAACTTAAAACTTGACTTTTCACAAAAATCCTTGATTAATTCTGGATCGGAGTTAAAACTAGATTTCTCACTATTTCTGAAATGGCATTAAATGTTCTTCTCTCATTCAGAACTACATATTTTTATGAAATTACTTTTTCAGCTTTAACGCTTATTAAAACCAAATGTTGTTCAAGGTTGAAACATGTTTAAGATGCTTTATGTCCAGCAGTGTCAAATATCACACCAACATTTAATCTGTTGTGTAGCAGAAAACACACACATCTGTCTCATTAGAATTTTCTTTAATTTTTTCTTGCTTAAAATAAATCCTAAAACTACTTCTTTTTGTATGTGTATTGTTTGCCAAAGAAGTAAATTATTTAATGGAGGATATTTATTTTTATATCTTTATTTTATATTTAATATCTGGGATCGCGAAAAAATTCTCTGATGAAAAGGTGTCGCGATTGAAAATAGTTTAAGAAGCTCTGTTTTAGAAGGAAGTTCTGTATTTTGTTTAGAAGGGACATGCCATCAGTTTTCAGAATGATTTTTTAAAAGTTCTTTCTTTCAGTCCATTTTGAATGAAAGTCTTCCAGAGCTATTCATTCCTTATCCAATTCAATGAAGTGAAAGAATCTGTTCGGAAATAAATTTTCACCAATAAACCTAGGACTTATTTTAACGAATTGTATAAACAGGCACTATTATTGCATGCCTGGTGTTCCAGCTTAAGTACAGTGATTTTCTTCAAGAGACCTGTAAAATCGTAACATTTACATTTTCTTTTCCTACCGCTTTTAAGTATGCAGCTGCTGTGTAACGCCCCTTATGTGCTTAGCCCAAACTGTAAGAAATCCTGCAGTATAACAGTATCGCTCATCCTAGGTGTATTTACATGAGCCAAAAGTAAAGCATCTCTTAACCACTTCATGGAATTTTTCTCTAATTCTTTAAGTAAACTTCATCCCACTTTAATTATGTCTTTTAGCTTTCTTGCAGTATGAGCTTTTGGAATTATTGATATATTCAAATATCTTTTGAAGCTCAGAAAGTATATTCCTAGGCTTCGAGAAGGCATGGATATATTGGGTTGAAACATAAGTACTGGCCATTTATGTTGTGTTTAAAATTACGCTGTAAAAATAAAATGTATTGACATATTGTTTTATGTTATTCGAAAGAGAATCTTTTCCTCTACAAGATGGCGTATTTGATTTCTTTGTCTGAGCTATTTTTTGGTATTTTTCAGATTATTAAAATGGAGTGTCAAGTCGACAAAAATAAGCAGTTTCAAAACCCACCTTCTTTTTGTGTTTAATCGAGGCGCCAATGGTGCAGAAGCTGCCCGAGAGATTTGTGAAGTGTATGGAGAAGGTGCAGTGCCTGAACGAACTGCAAAAAACTGGTTTGCCAAATTCAAAAATGGAAATTTCGACCTCGAAAACGCTGCTTGTTCTGGACGACCAAATGAGTTTGATGAAGAGCGTTTTAATCGATTTCTGCACGAAGACTTGCGTCAAACCACTCTAGAATTAGCCGAGCGAATGGGTTGTAGCCAAATGACTATAATTCGATACCTTGGGTCTATGGGAAAAGTCCAAAAACTCTGATATTATTTATTGTTTTTTGTTTTGTTAAAATAACTTTTAAACTAAAAAAACTGCCATTACTTATATTTCAACCCAATATGTTAGCATCTAGTGTCTGTGCGGCAAAGGGCACTCAAAATACACTGCGAGGAGGAATTCTCTGTCCTCTCGAGAGTTTGGTAGGAAAAGAGAGGTGGGAGTCCTTCGACCGGCTCCCAGGGTGCTCTGCTTTGGAATTCCTTCTGGGGGGGGGGGAACTTAACAGTTGCCAAGGCCCATATACCTAATATGCTAAAATGGATGTAACAGTGCCGGCTTTGCTTTAACCATATATGTCTGCATGGTAGATGGCTTTCCCCTGTCTGTAACTTGAATACGAAACCGTTTCCCTTAGAAAGTCATTTCGCAGAGACATCCTTTTTTAGTAAATGGCTCTTGTGCGCTTAATTATTTAACCTTGCCTAATCCAAAGATATCTCGATACATTTGCGGGTTCGGCATCAGAATTATCGAAAGTTGTCCCCCATTCTTCTCAGCTTAAATTTATCCAAGTTCATCGACTTTGTACACCCTTTGACAAAATGATTCAGTTCCTCTTTTGTGTCAACTGAAGCTGCGCAGTTGTCGAAATAAGAGGATGTTTTAAGTATTTTTGTAATATCTCAGTTCTGGTAGACCATTTTCGAGAGGGAGATTAATCATGGGCTCTAAGAGAAAAGACTACATTTGATCCAAAAACTACTGTTACATTTCTAAAAATGTTCGTTTTCCTTTCTTCATAATATAATTTCTTTCATTTCTTCATGGAAATCTTAAAAATTCCTTATGCCTTGTAAAAATTTTCAGGAAATGCTTTTTTTATGTCAGACATTACCTCTATATTTCCTTTTCTAAATCTAAGGAAAAGCGACAAGAAAATTTGGACCTTTCTCTAGACGTGTTGAGAGAGAAATTTTTTTAGCCTTACAAGAAATGTTCCCTTTCATCAAAATCTGCATCACATTCTGCGAATTTTTCTCACTGATGTTAATTTTGTAATGGTCATGAAAAGTCTCTTTTTAGAGATCGTTTTATTATCAGCTAAGATCACTGTTATCAATTCAAGGTACGCTGACTTTGGACCTCCATTCGCTATTGATAAGTCACGGTATTTCTTCCCTATTCCTTTCCTTATTGAATTTCCACCTCGTCATCAATATCTAACCTTCCCAAATTCCAGAATTTTTTTGTTTTCGGAGTAGTCCAAAATTGTCGTAATCATAGGAATATGAGTATCTTTTTATTCCTCCTAATATTTTACTCATAACAATCCAATCAAAAATAAATTTGTTATCCGTTTACTCGCTTCTCAAATTGTAAGTTCTTTCCGCAAATAAATTTATGGAATTTATTTCTTCTTATTTATTTGTTATGTAAGTATTTTAATAACTGACTGATATTTATCTGCCTATATCACTCGAGTGAGTTTCTTGTTCTTTTAATTCTTTGATAGCAGATTTATTATTAAGTCGAGGTAACATATCATAATACCCTGAATTAAACTGGTATATTTTTCTCAAAATTAGCTTAAAGATCACATAATGCAATATAATGAAATCTATATTCAGGGATACCTCTTAATTGAGGACAAATTTCATAATCAGTTGCAAACCTAGTTACCTTTCTTTTAAGGATTTTCTTGGACAGTGACAGAAACACATTAAAAAAAAAAGGTACTTTTTTTTTTTTTTTTTTTTTTTTTTTTTTGAGTATACATCCTAATCCTGTTGAGTTCTGCCAGTTGGTGCAAGCAAGTACATCCGTGGCAGATGGCTGAATTTAAGGATGGCAAAATTTTCGAAATATATACTAGCATTGCGCGGAAAAATTTAGGAGTCTGAGTGATTGACAACAGAGGCAAAAAATCCAGCGCCGGCCCTGTCTGCAATTTAAATTCAGTGAACTCTAAGTGAAGCTTAGAGAGTTTCGCTTAGAGCTCACTGGGTAAAACCCATTCAGTTGTTGAGTATATGTTTTCCTTTCTTCATTGCACTTTACCATATTTTAATAGTTAAATCCCTTTATAATTTTCGTGTCCTTGAACTGGGATATTCTTCTCAAATTGAAACTATATCAAAGAAATATGGGCAATGTATTAGGTGGCGAAGATTTGATCACAAAGCAAATGTACAGCAAATGGCCTAATGAACCTATTTTTATGGAGAATGTTATATTTGAAAACAGGTGAATAATTCACTCTCGAGTAATAAACGGTTTTAAAGAAAAGGCTTTTGTTGCACTTCCTCAGCTGTAGAGAGAATTTTTAATTCCATGTGCAATACGTTGTTTCGCACAAAGATATGGGCATTTGCAAATATCCAGAAAACTTTATTTCGGATGACTTGAAGTTTTCATCTGTTAAAACCTTTGCGTCTGTGCCTCTCACCTCTGTATGATCCGAAATTTCGAATACCCACTCCGTCAGCGACGGTGACAATAATTTAATAGGAATCTTGAAATTCATCAAATTAATCTTTGGATGACTGCATTTCATAGAGTTAATGGGAATAGAAAGTTGTGGCTGGTAATACTAAATTTATCTATGACGTTATTGGAAGGTCTTGGTTGAAGTTTATTATGCTGTGCGCTGAACTTAGTTGATGGAATCTGCCAGGTCTTCGACTTCAGAGGTTTATGTGAAATTTACAAACATACGCAAGCCCTGCAAAACATGTTAATGTATTTGAGCACATCAGTTAAATCCTGTTAAGAACAATCACACGTACTCCCCGTTTCTAATTTAATGTCATGTATTTTAACCGTAACTGTTTTATACTTTTGCTTAGGTTGATCTGGCAACAGTTGTAGTAGTTTTTGGTCATGGTGTGATATGTAGAAATGTGCTGTTCCATGTGCGTGATATTCCATCATTTAATAAAGCCTCTACTTAATGATCATCGGCCTCTGATTCACCTTTTTTAAATCTTTACAAATCCTAATCTTTATGTATTTGCCACACTGTAAGGTTTCCTGGTAAAAAATATATATATGTTCTGATAGGACTCAGGACAGTATTTGTTACGAAGTTTTGGGGAAAATTCGTGATCTCTAAACATTGCGATATTTTCTTTATCGAAATTCACAGACCTGCGGGGGGTATCAGTTTTGTGTTTTTAGCAGTCCTTGGAATGGCGGTTTAGACCAGTGCTGAACAATTTTTGGCCGCGAATATAATTTTCGAAACATTTCGTAGACCTGTGGGTACCCCCCCCCCTCTCAAAAAAAAACTTTACAAGGTGTTCAAGAATTACTACATAAATTAACTGTAACGTTCTTATTATCATTTACCTACAATAATTAAATGTAAACAGAGCCAGGTTTAGGCCTATTTGAGATATGGGGCCCTTTATAAGTCTGTTATAATATATTTTAATATTATTTATACTATATTTTAACTTTGGGGGGGGGGCCTCCAAGAAAGTGGGGACCCTAAGCTATAGCTTGTGTAGCTTATACGTAAATCCGGCTTTGAATGTAAAGATGAGTTAATATTGTAATTCGAGTATAATTATATAAGTAAATAAACCTTTGAGAAAAATCACAGAAAATTATAAAAAAAAAATCACAAAATCATTGCATATATATTAACAGAGGACCAGTGACGGTCCGTTGGATAGCGGTTGAGAATCCCTGATCTACCGTACTGAATCGCTAGCGCTACCTATCAGTCTTTACATCGTTTTTCCTTTGTTCAAGTGGAGCAACTGAAATAATCGGAATACATAATAACAATTGAATTTTGTTAAAAAAAACTTGACTGTCATTTGCTTAACTTTTGTTTTCTTCTTAATAAAATTATTTAAAGAAGTTCGTGTATTTATTACTCTTATACTACAGTTGCCATTATTCAACGAACTTCAAAGAATAATAAGCGCTTCGCCACTGGAAACTAACATATATCGTTTAATATGAGTACTCGTTCCCCCTAAATACACGTTCGTGGCACCACGATAGGTCTCCTAATGCTAACAAACGTAAATTAAAGACAAACAAGAAACACTCTGAAAAAGCTTGAACTAAGGCGTTGCGCAGTGTGCATAATAACATATATAGTTGTCATATTTAATATTTTTCTTTTAGTAACAATACCAAACGGTAGACTTTGTAAAATCTGATCCGGCTTCATTTTCATTACTTCTCAAAACATTGGTAATAATACATTTTTAGCAACTGTATACTTGCATCTTCCTTTTTCGGTTAAATAGGAAATGTTATATGAAACTTTGAATTCTCTTTCATAATCCTTAGATGTCGATGGTGTCAAACGTAATTTGATTCTCGCTTTCAGAGCATTGAAAATTTATCTTTGAATTTATCTTTATTAACTTTCTTTAGAATATGGTCACTTTTATCTGGTTGCATGTGTAGTCTCCCTTTTATTTTTTGCTTTTTATCTCTGTCTTTAAAATATATTGAACTCGCATTCTTTACATTGATTATGTATTCTTTATGAAAATGAATATTTAGACAAAATAATGCATAAGACAATTTAATGAACATTATATAATATTACAGAACTTATTCTAGAATGGCTACTATGTGGAAGGCTATCAAATACTGCATTTTTAAAGTAAATAATAGAAGCATATTTCTATCGTAGTTGTATGAGAACTGAATAATATGAGATTATAGTATAGTTAGTTATACAAGAATATCTGAAATAACATTTTCAAAAGCATACACATAATTTTTCAATACTTGGGTTTTCAAAGCAGAAAAAGTTGTAAAATAATACACATGCAGAAATAAGTGTCAAAAGTAGCTAGTTATCTGATACATTTGTAGATCATATGAGCAGGAATGTGATATATTAATACTTATATGAAATCAGATCGAAAAGTAGTTGCCCTGCGTTTTCGCAATAAACGCACATTACTCGACTTTTAATGTTAATTTAGCAGTATCACAGAACCAAATTAGAAATCAGATACAAACAAATATAAACACATCTTAATCCCGCTTTTCCCTATATATTTTTTCTT